TTAATCTGTGCCAAAAATGTGTTTTCAGAGAAGATCTTATTTTCATTTTAATCTGTGCCAAAAATGTGTTTTCAGAGATCTTATTTTCACACTCAGACTTTGTACTGTCACTCATTTGTATAAGTGCATTCCTGGCAGCACGGTCCCTGCTCCCGACTTTGTACTGTCACTCATTTGTATAAGTGCGCTCCTGGCAGCACGGGCCCTGCTCCTGTGGCAGCGTGGAAGTGTCACGCAGTGTCCGTACAAAAAAGACTGGCGAGCCCCCTCCTCCTACCTTGGCCTCTCCCCACCTTCCTAACACTTATTAATTTATGAAACTGGTTTTCTCAGCGCAGTTTTGTTTTGTGTGTCCATTGGATTACAACTTTATTAAAAAATACAAAACACGTCAAGTGTGAATGTGATTGTCACTGGGGTGGGAGGACCAAGGATCCTGGCTGATGAGACAGCTGGCCCTCATCCCAAGCCTACAGCTTCCTCGGGCCTCCCCTGGATCCTTTTGATCTTGTACAGAAGAGATTTTGGTGACTAGATGCTGAACTCGGGCCATTTTTCAGTGTTGTGTACATATCTGTGAAACTTGAAGGTCCTGACTGGTTCACAGGTAACGTGGAAGGCACTTCGAATTTCAATACAGAATAAAACCACCCCTGTGCAAAGTGCAGAGGCATCTCACGTCAGCCTTGGTTTCTTGTCTCGCCCCTCCCTCTTCCCAGCATGGCGCAGGCTGGCTCCTGCAGAAGCTGTGAGCATGCACCTGCCCTGACAGGCTGGAGCCCTGGGACTCAGTTAATCCTGGACCTGCCTCCAGATGGGAGGGAGGGAGCAAGCCAGGCTTTCTGCATCTGGGTCCACTGCACACTGGAGCTGGGCTGGGGACCGGGGTTGTGCAAGTTGGTGGTCTTGCCAAGTCAGTGGTGCTCTGGCAAGATAGGCCTACGCTGGGCATGAGAAGACGGTCTCACCCCTGCATGCGGGATGGAGCCAGGGGCAAACAGGAAAGGGGCTGAGCTGGCATGTCCCAGCTCCCCATGACAGGTAGGAAGGCTGCTCCCACAGTCCCTGCCGCTGTGGTCCCTTGGCCCCATCAGAGCATCCGGCTGCTCAGTCTTGTCTGAGGTAAAGACTCCATCGACTCAGATACGTGTTTCCAAAAGCTGGGCTTTGTCCTCGGGCCAGGGGCCTGTGGGGCTGGGGTTCTCTGCCTGCCTCAAAGCTCTGACTTAAAGGACCGCTGAGCCGGCCCTAGGAGTGGCCCTTGCTGGCCTCTTCCTCAGCTTCCCAGCCCTCAACCAGAGGGGAGCAGGGTGACAGTAGTGCTCCCAGGGGAGAGCAGGGACACTGACTCCTGGAGCTGAACAGGTGAGAGGCCTCCAATGCGGAGACAATGAGAGAATGCGGAGCTCAGTCTCTGGCCCTAGCAAAGCAGCCAACTTGGTTCTGGACGGGTCCTGGCTTCCAGTCTCATTCTGCAGGAGGGACAGCTGGGCTTTCCCAGGAAGGCCGGTTCCTGGGTGGCAGAGCCTATTTTGCCATCAGCCGTGGCTGCCAGCTCCCCACCCTCCCCCCTTAGGGACCTATAGGCAGCATTAGAAAATAATCAAATTTATTCTCTAGGGAATAGAGCCACCATCGCAAGTCCACGGTGCCATCCATCCTTAAATAGGCAGTCAAGGAGAAGGGCCTCCCGCTCACTCGGCAGGGGGCGGACATTCAGGAGCTGCGGGTGGAGTCTCTGCCAGCGCAGGCTGGTTCTCAGTCCCGTCCCGAGGGCGGAAAACCAGCTCCCCAGCCTGCAGCACCTGCCCGGCCGGCCACGTGCCACCCGGCCCGTACTGCTGGTAGAAGTCCGCGTCGGTCTGGAACATGACCAGCGCCTGTGCTGTGTGGATCCGCACATGCTGGGCCAGGCTGTTGGCATCCAGGAACTTGTCCCCACAGGAATCACAGGCGTAGAGGATGTGGGTGTTGGGGTCTGGGAAGGCGGGGGCTGCGGTCAGGGTGGGAAGGACCCTCGGGTCCACCAGCGTTCACACCCTGGGAGGCCCCTCTCACCTTCCTCCTGCACCTGTTTCACAGCCTTGCTGATCTCTGCCTTAAGTACTTCCGTCTCGTCGGCTGTCACTGCGGCCCCCACTGGCACCACTGTGGGCAGGGTCAGCAGGGTCTGAGGCAAAGGCCACGCACCTGCCCGGTCACTGCCACCCACAGGCAAGCTACCCACGACCACCCTCTGCCGTGCACAGCCCGGACCTGTGAGCTGAGTGACGGCTGTTGCTGCCAGTGCCTCAGTGGCCAGCGTGACCATGTCATCGACAGTGACCACGCTGACCTCTCCACCCTCCTCTGGCTCCAGGATTTTGATGCCAGCCTTGCCCTGGTGCACGGTCTTCACATGGGAACGCAAGTTGTCCACTCGGTTGAAGCCTCGCCCACACTTGTCACACAGGTAAGGCTTCTCTCCTGGAGGGGAAGGCAAGGTTCTTTCCTTCCTTAGGAAGGGGCAGCCAGGGGTGGGGTGGGAGGGCCCGGGAGCCCTGTCGTTTCCAGCAAGAAGCGCTCTGGAGCGGCCGCTAGAGCTGCACCAGGGCTCTGTGGCCCTGCACCTCGAGAAGCTAAGACAGTGGTCCTTTGAACTGGACTGCTTTCCAGGCCACTGCAGTGGGGGCTGGCCCCAAGGCTGGGACCTCGTGCCTCCGTCTCAGCCCACCTCCACCTGAGCAGGCGCTGGGAGGGGCCCGCAGAGGCAGGTGGGCACAGGCTCACCAGTGTGGATGATGATGTGCTTGGACAGGTCGCCCACGTTCACGAAGGCCTTGCTGCACACACTGCACTTGTGCGGGCGGATGTTGTCATGGTGGCGAATGTGGTTGGCCAGCTGGCTGGACTGGACGAACCTGCAGGGCCGAAGCGGGAGGCTCGCACTGAGCTACCCGACCCGAGGCTGGGCGAGTGGGGCTGGGCCTCCTGCCTCACCTTCGAGACGGGGGCCCCTGGGCCCAATGCCTGGGACGCGCCCCCACCAGGTCCCCAGGCAGTGTTGACTGCCTTTACCGTGCACACCGCCTGGGGCCCCCTCCCAGCACCGGGGCGGGGCAGGACCTCTTGCCGCAGCGCTCGCAGACGTAGGGCTTCTCCCCGGTGTGCTGGCGCACGTGGGCGATGAGGGAGCTGGCCTGGGTGAAGGCCTTGCCACACATCACGCACTGGCACGGCTTCTCGCCTGGGATGAGCAGAAGCTGTTGTTGCCCCCTGCTGTCCCCACACCCCTCCCGTCCCAGGCAGCAGGTGGCCCACCCACCGGTGTGGATGCGCACGTGCCGCTGCAGAGCGCCTGGGTCCGCGAACTGCCGCTGGCAGTGGATGCACACGTAGGGCTTCTCCCCGCTGTGGATCCGCAGGTGCCGCTTGAGGTTCCCTGTGGCAAGACCGGGACAGGCTGGCGTGTGGCACCCTAGCAGGGAGGGGATGCGCGGGCACCCAGGGCAGCCCTGGGCCTACCTGAAGTGGTGAACTGCTTCCCACACTCTCGGCACTTGAGGGGCCCATCTGCGATGTGGATCTTCAGGTGGGCCTTCAGGTTCCCCACCTGTGCCCAGGCAGGGGGTGAGATGGGCCACCCCACAGTGCCCCTCGCCTGCCCCTCCCTCCAGGGAGCACCCGACTCTCGGGCCTGTGCTGACTCCCTCTCCTCCAAGCCAGTGAAATGTGAGAGGAAAGCCTCCCACGCCCCCAGTTCCTTCTGGCCCGAACCCCACCCTGACTCAGCCTGCACTCCAGGGGAGTCACTTCTCAGGCACGGCAGCTACTCCCCACTGACTGCGTCCCTCAGGTGCCACAGGAAGGGGCTGCTGGGGCCTGGGGCTGCTGGCCTCTCCCCTGCAGGCAGCAGACCCTGGGCACGCGGGGCAGCACCTGGTTGAACTTCTTGTCGCAGTGTGGGCACTTGTGCTCCTTGTCAGTGTCATGGGTCTCTAGGTGGCGCATCTTGGACGTGGGGTCGGAGAAGGAGCGGCCGCAGTAGTCGCACTGGTAGGGCTTCTCCCCGCTGTGCACCAGCTGGTGCCGCTTGAGGTTGCCCGAGGTGGTGAAGAGCTTGCCGCAGTCCTCGCAGCGGTAGCGCGCAGGCTGATGAGCCGGTAGCTCTTGCCGCACTCCTCGCACCCATACGGCTTCAGCGGGCTGATGGTCAGAGAGCGACAGGAAGAGGAGGGCTCGCTGGAGCCCAGAGAGGTCAGGGCCGCGAGCGAGGAGGCTCAGCCTGGGGCAGGTACCTATGCGTCTTCTCGTGGGCCTTGCAGGCGGCTGGGTCGGAGAAGGCCTTGCTGCACTCCCGGCATGAGAAGGGCTTCTCGCCTGTGTGGATGCGGATGTGCCGCTTGAAGTTGCCCGTGTGTGTGAACTCCTTCCCACAGTCCTGCAGACGCAGCAGGAGAGGGGTGCATGAGGCGGGGCTGGGGGCTGGGGGCCGGGGCCCGGGAAGGGATGGTGGGCACCTCCTGTGGCCCCGCACCTCGCACTTGTGGATGACGGAGCCATAGGGCTTGGGCTCAGTGCGGGCCCCGCA